AAAAAAAAAAATTATTATTCTACAATAAAGAAAGTACTTCTTTTTTTTTAGGTGTGATAATTGGCCAATATAAAATGTCATAGTCCCCTCACCAACAGTCGCGATATTATCTCTAAGCGAGTTTATGATGGTGATATGATATCCGTGCCGTGGAGATAGAGAGAAGCGAACTGAAACCTTTTTCATGGCTTCAGGTTATTCCTTTTGTTTCTTCTTTTCATTTGGGATGCAGTACTCGAAAAATAGTTTTTTTTCCACCTCTGATACTGATACTTTGCTTTGTCCCTTGACGGTAAATCTTCAATCAAAAGACCAATAAAGTTGGAGTGTATTTGCGTCCATCGTTTTTGGTTTAAATGAATTCAAAATAAAGTTGTGCTTAGTTTGATGAAAAAATTTTCCTATTTTAAGTTTATTATTTGAATTCTGTGTGCTTATGATTTGTTAGATTTATTTGCAATTTTACACCTATATTTTTGGATTGTACAAACCCACAATACTTTTGGGTATTGTTTGTGTCTCTGTAAATTTTTTAGGAATTGTTAAAAAAAAATCTGTAAATACCTACAATAAATTTTAATGTTAAAAATAATAATACAAGCCTTAAAACACGATCAAAATTTTACTTGATGACATGGGTACCAGAACCTTCAACTTAATTAATCCTACATTATAAGGCACACTAGGTCGGGCTGCATCCTTAATAGAGGAATTAAGGAAGCTGCTTTCACTGGATGCAAGAAAGGAATATTTCTACATGTACAAAAAAAAAAAAAAAAAAGGGAAAGGAATTTTCCATAACAAGAGTACATACATTAGTAGCTAGTGATGCAAATTGCGGAAGCGTCTTTTGCTAAATGCAACCTCTCTTTCCCAAGAGCAATGGACAAATCTAGCTGGGTCACACAGGTAAACCAAAAACTTGCAAACATGGAGGATGCTGTGAATGAGAGAGAAAAGTGGAAGACGAGTTCTGTAATACCCAGAATTTTTATTATTGTTATTATTATTTAATTCCTTGAGGATGTGTATGCAATAAGGTGGAAATATGAGGACTTATGTGTATAATGGTGGTAAAGATGAAGGAGTGGCTTGTAAAATGTGCAAAACTTAACCTAGAAATTTAAGAATAGCGTGTTATTCTACGGAACCGGGGGAAGGGGCTGGGAGTTTCCTCACTCAAAAAAAAAAAACAGTAAGGTGACTGCACAAATTGGGGGAAAATAGTTGCCAAGTCTATTCAAGGGAAAAGGGTCTAAATAATTCTTGGCTTTGCATTCATTGGTGCTAGGTCAATAACTGAGGTAAGTGGCAATACCCTTTCTAGAAATGCTAGAAAAATAAATTATTCTTTCACTTGTTATTGTGAAATTAATTTATTTGAAATCTAAGTATTTTTTTTTAACTATTTCCTTGTGGTATTTCTTTTGGAATGCATTTACTTATTTATGTGTATATTTATTTATCATTTTCTTTCTTTAATAAATGTGGATTAAGCATGTTGGTTGTCAACTATTTGAGATGAGGGGATTTGATAGTTTTGTGATATAGAGACTTTGGAATTGAAAATTTATTTGAAATTAAGGTAACTTGTTTTACATGGAGTTGTTGGACAACCCTGCCTCGAGGGTTTCTGATGGTAACTGTTTGAGTCGTGAATTATTTTAGATTATCGTGCCGTAATAGATTATCGAACGGTAAACCGTGTTAAACTATCGAACGGTAAACTGTGTTAAACCATTGAACAATTCATTTTTTTAATTTATTTTGTCGTAATAGAGTATCGAACGACCAGTTGATATTCATGTGCCACAGCCATGTGGGATTGAGAAATTGTTTTACTGATGAGTTCTTTATATTTGTTTCATCCAATATAATTTCATTATTTATTTTCTATCACTTTTTAATTAAGATAATTATGCTTGGTCGTAATAGTTGGGTATGCTACTTATTGGGCATGTGGAGCTCACATTGTTTTATTTAATGTTTTTAGATACTAAACATGGAGCATCTAGGATGCAGGGGAAATAGAGAGCCACCTTAGAAATAGATTATTTATTTCTTTCCTATTATACTTAGCATTCGTGGACATTTGAAATAAAGAGATTTTAATTTAGTGCTAGTTATACTTGAGATTCTTGGTGTAGAATTGGCTTTATATGATGGAGTATTCTTGACATATATATATTTCTCTATTAATTTTCTTAAAAGTGAAGAATAAATTTTATGCAAAGCTACAAGGATGAATTTTAGAGACTGACTTAGCCTTACATGCTTTTAGGGTCACTCTTAAAGGTATGTGGCATTGTCATGTCCTAACCCCTAAGTTGGGGCGTGACAAGTTCAATCTACAAGGTTCCTTCTTGCCTCACAGACCTAAACAAGAAAGCCTACATGCCTCAGGTGGTCTCCTTCGGCCCTTACCATCACGGCCAAACATCATCTCATCCAAATGGAGGAGCATAAGCAACGAGCACTCCTCCATTTCCTCAAGGGATCAAACAAGCCTTTGGATTTGTACCTCAATTCTTTGGCTGAAGTGGTTCAAGATCTCAAAGATTCTTACAATCCACTCCCCACACAATGGCAAGACGCCAACAAGGTTCTGCAGCTGATGATTGTCGATGGATGTTTCATGCTCGAAATTTTACGCTTTGTTGCTCATAACTTGGATGACTATGCTGACAATGACCCCATTTTCAGCTATCATGGGAAGCTCTATATCATGCCTTTTATCAAGCGTGATATGTTAATGCTTGAAAATCAATTGCCAATGTTGCTCCTCGAGAAGCTAGTTACGATTGATCTCAATAAAACCAAGGTCGATCACATTCCTGCTGATTCAATTAAATTATTGTCTTCTTCTTAACAAAATAAAGATTTTACTCTGCGTAGGACGATGAGCTTCTTTACAAGCTTGTACTCAAATTCTGCTCTCCCATCCCCGCCACGTCTATCTCCAGTATGGGAAAATGCTTGCATGTTCTGGATGTCTACAGAAAGAGTCTACTTTATCAGGAAAAACCTGGAAGAACCAACCAACGCAAGTTCCAGGCTTCGCACCATAAAGACAGTGATGATATCATTCGTTCAGCAACTGAGCTTAACGAAGCAGGAATCCGATTCAAGAAAAGCAAAACAGCCAGCCTCAAAGACATTAGATTCAAGGGCGGCGTCCTTCAGCTTCCAACGATGATTGTGGATGATGCAACAGAGTCCATGTTTCTTAATCTAATAGAATTTGAACGTTTCCATGTTGGGGTAGGGAATGAAGTGACATCCTACATATTTTTTATGGACAACATCATTGACAATGAGAGAGATGTTGCGCTGCCGCATTCCAGAGGGATCATCCAGAATGCCATAGGAAGTGACAAAGCATTGGCAAAACTGTTCAACTCGCTCTCTAAGGATACAACAGTTGACCCGAGGAGCAGCCTGAATCAGGTGCATATGGAAGTCACTAGGTACTGCAAGAAAGCTTGTAATGAATGGCGTGCCAATCTCATTCATACCTACTTCCGCAACCCGTGGGCGTTCCTCTCCCTATTTGCTGCCATCTTCCTTTTTGCCCTGACTATTGCGCAAACTATATATACTATTTATCCTTACTACCATGAAGCAAATTCAACTTCGGAGCTACCTCCACCCCATCCACTCCCAACCCCATTTCATACACCACCCCATCCACTTCACCATTGATTCCTATCCCACCTAAACTCATGACACCTCAATTGCAAGTTTTTGTATCGTTTTTCATTTTCATTTGTTTCACTTGATTATCATTGTCTGTTTGATCACATTAAATTTTGGTTTTACAAACTTCTTAAAGAACTTTTCCCTTGAGATGTGTCATGCTTATGTACGTTCTGTGGAAATTTAATAGGTGAGTTTCAAAACAAAATTTGCCTTCGACCTATAATCAAATCGGTTGGTTAGCGTGGTATGTTGTAGCTTTGATATTTTAATAAATAAAAATCCTATCATATTTTATAAAATTTAGTTTATTGTTTCATTTCAAAACAAAATTTGCCCTTCGACCTATAATCAAATCAGTTGGTTAGTGTGGTATGTTGTAGCTTTGATATTTTAATAAATAAAAATATATCATATTTTATAAATTTAGCTTATTGTTTCATTAAGAACTTAATCAAACTAACCATTACAAGTTAATTGTCCTACTTAAGGGCACAATATCTCCTAATAATTATCTAATTTATTTCTATAATTAACCAATACATGAATGTTACAAGACTAAGAGTCTTATAAATAGGACTTGCTATTTTGCTCAAGTAAGGAGGTTCCTCCACATTCTTCTACATTCTTACGTTGTTCTATTCTTGCAAACATTCTTGACCCAAAAAGGGAGTTTTGAATTAGGTGTTGTTAAAACTAAAAAATAGAAAAGATGGTGTAGAACCAAGTACTTTATTGATCAAGAATCGAGAGAGCTTACAATAAAGAGAGAATGAAGAAAAATGACCTCTCTTGTAGGTCTAACATTGGGGTATTTATAAGAGATTACAAAGAGTTACCCTAGGATTACAATTCTACTTAGGTTGGTGTTAGGAATTCAAGTTCTAGTGGGATTTAGCCTATCTAATCTTGATAGAACTCTTTTAGGATGTCTTCACATGTCCTAAATCACATAGAACTCAATTTAGGGTATAACAAGTGTGTATATAGGTAGTGAAAATGCATAGTGTTATATAAAGGTATAGCACTCTTGCGGTAATATATGTGCTATGTATATTTCTACTATAATGGTAGATTTAGGTTTAGTTTGAGAGTGCTACACTATAGCTGGAATATAGGTTTTTTTATCCTTTTATATCCAAAAATATATAAAATATATTTCATATTTATTTTAATTAATATTTTATATATTTTTAGAATAGTAAGAAGACACAAAAACCAAAAGTTAAAGCAACTGAAAAGTATTCTTAAACGAAGTCATACTCTGAATAAAGTTGTAAATCACTTTAAAATAAGTTTCTCTTGGCCAATCTGATAATATTTTTTATTGATATTTCCTTGATAAATTCACTAATTATTTTTTTTTTTTTAATTTTGTGACTAAGGCACAATAATAACATGAAATGGTAATAGAGAAATATGTTCAAGGAAAAACAATTTTGAGGGGATTCAATTTTCCGGGGATTCAATTTTCCCCAAATAAGCCAATAGCTCTTCTACAAGTGATTCTATATATGCAAGCTATTCGAAATTATCTATTTATTTTCAGATATCAAATAGGTACGAGTTTCTAACCCGTTCACAATATTTGATACTTCATGTATCTACTACGTCATTATTCAATTGTATGCTTGAAACCATTGGAAACTTGGAATTATATCTGATGGCTCCATGATATTTTTTTTATTTTAGTAAAATACATAGAGGTATTTGATCACCATATAACTTACCTGAACCATAAAGCATAAGCACACATAACTCTTGTGAAAATTAGCAACCTAATGTTACTAGCCATTGTATTAAATACACATTACTTTGTGCCACTTAATGGCAAAACTCCAAAATCTACTCCTTAAATAGGAGGGTAGGAACAAATCCTCTCCTCTAAGAAAAGTAAGGCCAAATTGTCCCTTCAAATTATTTATCAAGACAAATTACTCATTATTTAGCATGTGATGTCATCATTCATTAGAAATATGTTTGCCACCTAAACATGTTTTTAATAGAAAACTAACAGGTGATGGTGTCACATGTTAAATAATAAATTATTTATCTTTATTAATTGATAATTTGAGTAGACAAAGTGTCCCTACTTTTTTTTAGGGGCGATTATGTCCTTACCCTTCTATTCGAGGAGCAAATTTGCAAGCTTAACCCTTGATTAATAGCTTGTGGTGCATATTAGTTGTTATCAAAGGGGCTAAAATAGTATATTAAGTCTTGTATTCTTGAGCTTGTTGAAATGAGTCCCTCTACTTTTCTTTTTTTTTTTGAAATTCTAGTGTATAGGTTCAAAGATGTTAAAAGAAATGAAATATACATTTAGTGCTAGAAAAAAGAATGGTTTAGTAGTTTTTTTTTTTTTTTTATTATTTAAGGGTTTTGGTGGCTTCCCAAAATTTTAAGTAGAATTTTCATGGAATTTAACAAAAGTGACTAATGGTAGAATTAAGGTTAGTGATTTTAATAAGGTTTGAGACCATTTGTGGTCCAAATGAAAGTTTGGGGACTAAATCTGAAATTTACCCATTTTTTAACATTAAGATGATTATAAAGGATCAAAGAACTAAGGGCATGGAGAGGAAGCAACTACCATTCAAGAAATTAAAGTGGATGTGTTAGCCAACATTAAAAGCAATCTTAAAGGAAGATTGAAACAAATCAAAAGAGGTGAGGGATAGAGTTAAATCCATCCATATTTTCAATAATCCTTTTGAATTTGTAAAGAAGAAAGCTTGGCACAAAAATAGTGGCCACCAACAAGAGGGTGAAACATAAAGGCTTAGGGGATAGTCGTCTCAATATTTACAAGTGAAAAGTCAAGATTTTGAAGAATGAGAGGTATGTACCCAATTGTTCTAGCAATATTATCACAATAGGTGAGTTAACTACATGTGGATATAGGTATCTTAGCAAATGTCAAAGGTGTAAAGGGAAAAACCTATATTTTGTGTTAAAAGGAACAAGGAGAAGAAGTGAAGTACCATCCAAAAGGAGGAGGGAAGTCAAATTTGGTTAGCCTCTACACTTGAAGTGAAGTACAATGTTCTTGACAAACTACTACTAAAGGCATATAGGAAAAACTTGAGGAGATATATGTTTCCAAACATTCAACTAACTATCCTTATTTTTATATGATTAAATTATATAAGATAGTTCAAAAACACCAGTACTATACACAAGCACTCATCTAATTATAACATGCTAACACAAGTGGAGAAAGCTATCATGGAAAAATAGTGGATGAAGAAAAAGCTTTACTTTTTTTTGGCACCTTTGCCCCAATTTTACAAACCTTCTATTAGCACAACTTATCTGCATATAAAGATGGTCACAATCATGTTACTTGAGAATGAGAAGTTGCTTGGCTAGTTGGATATGAAGATCATGATGTTGTCTTCATGGTGGAAGCATAACTAGTTTGATTCAAAGAATGCAAAAATGGTGAAAATTGGGAAAGTTCCAAACACAAGAATGATTATGATGAGATCAAATTATTGTATTAAAGAGAGATAGGTACGATCTTAGTTAGAAATCCAAAGTTCAAGGAGAATATTTTTAACATGTAGACAATTGTGAAAGATCAAACAACTAAGGGCAAGAGGAAGGAAGTGAACATTATTCATAAGAACGAAGTTTTAGCCAACATTGAAGGTGATCTTGAAGGAAGATTAAAACAAATCAAGTTAGGTGATGGATAGTGTGACAAACATCCATATTTGCAATAATCTTTTTGAATTTGTAAGGTTAGAAAGAGGAGAATTCTGCACAAAACAGCAGCCACTAATGATAAGGTCAAAGTTTGAGGCTTAGGGGATTTTTCTCTTAACATTCACAAGGGAAAAGCCAAGATACTCAAGAATGTGAGGTACATTCCCAACTTTTCTAGCAATATGATCACATCAAGAGAGTTAGCTACATGTGGGTATATGATTCTTGGCAAATGTAATTGGTGTAAGGTTTACAAGAGGAAAAGACTTGTCTTGCATTTAAAAGGAATGAGGACAACCTCTACGGGCCTGAACAACATCCCAAAATAGAGCTTTTATAACCCCATGTTGAGAATGGCTATATACCATAAGGGTAGAAAAATGAATTGTGTGCAAGTCGAAAAGCATATGTTCTCCATGTCTAGGTTTAGTGACTAATTAAATCGTGAAACTTGGAGACATGTGTGGCATCTATTTGTGTAGTAATAAGGGTTTCATGAAACTACATCACATATATGGCAACTTTTGTATGGTAATATGGGGTTGGTAAAATTAAGGCGCACATGTGGCATCTTTTTATAGGGTAATAAGGGATTGGTAAAACTATGGCACACGTGTGGCATGTCCCTGTATGGTAATTATGTAACCCAATGTGAATCTCATTTAGAAGTCAATTTTTTTAGAAAGATAATAAACACATTGGCATGTAGTTTGTTCCAAATCATTGCCAATGGATTTCACATAAATATATCAACATTTACTTTTTGCCTTTTTTTTTATTTGGTTAGATTCTCAACTCCAATCTCGCCCTCCATTCCTATATAAAATGGTTATTTTGCATATTGAAAGTCAATGCCCTTTTAGTAGAGGTCTTATGAATGAGTTTCTTCCTCTTCTCATGCCAGAGCATGATTATTATTTTGACATGAAAAAGTTTTACTTCTTCCTTCTAGTTTGCAGGTAGTTTTAAGAATACAATGTCTTATTTTATATTGAACAAAAAAGATCAACAAGGTAAGGAATATTGTTTTTAACTATATTAAGTGATTTGATTATTATATATATCTACCAAATCTATTGACCAAATAAAGTTTGAAGCTTGACATTAGTTAATTCGATGTTATTGTTTTGTATGTGGTATATTGTGGGGTTTTTTCCTTTGGTGTTTTTCATTATAATTAAGCATACAAAACATAGAAAATGATTAAGAATTTTAATGTTCAAATTTCCATTTCTAATTACCTTTTGAACTCTTCTTCTTAATCAAATTATTATATGTATCATGATTTTTTTTTTTTATCAACCAAGAAAATTTTAAATTTTATTATTTTGGAGTACAAGGGGTACTTCTGCTCTTAATCAAGTTTACAAAATTTTCTTCACAAATCAAAATCCTCCTTGTTTAGAACATTGCATCTTCAAGCACTTAAAACACTAACTAATTGCTTCTGCACAAACTCTTGGGTTGTTGCATCACTTAAAAAAATAATAATAAAACTCAATCACCTTACCCTTCAACGAAAGAAAGGATCGCATTTAAATTACCTCAAACAAATTACTCGTTGAGATGTCAACCTCTTTGAAAATCAGATGATTCCATGTGTTCCAGATGGACCATGCAACAACAAGAAATATGAATGACCAAGCTTTCTTTTTCTTTGCTTTAGTCATCCCTAACACAAGTGATCTAAACATGTCTTACATTGAGTCTGGGTAGGCACTATCGAAACCCCACCATTCCAAGCACCTTCTCCATAAACTAACTACATAATTGCATCTACACAAAGTGTGTTTGTCATCTTCCTCCTCTTTGTGGCATCTTGAACATCTATTATCCCCAACATCCACACAAAGACCCCTTTTTGATTGGTTTAACTTTTAAGTAGGTTGTCTAAAAACATTCTCTTTTCCAAGGGAAAAAAATTATCTTTCCAGGCACAAGATTATTCTAAATAACCTTACACAAGTCAGAATCAAGGATTTGATGATTAACACATAACAAAGAGTATACCTTCCTAACTGAGTATATCCCATTGCTATCAACTCTACACTTTTCTGTCCTCCTTTCCTTCAATCACCTTAACCCTATCTAATAACTCCAACAACTCCGTCTCCTTCTCACATTCCCTTCCAAACAAATCCCTTCTCCACATTAACTTCCAAGACCAAACACCATCCCTCCAAAATCCCATTTCACTAACTTTCAAGTTCAAAGACATTGTCAACCTTTTCAATCCTGGAAAGTTAGTCTTTAACACCTTCCCCCCTTTAGCCAATTATCTTTCCAAAACTTAACATGCTCACCATCACTTATCACCCATCTAAAAGCATCCTTGACTATATTTGCCATCTTCCCTTTAGCCCTCCTAAAAGCACAATATCTTCCCATATTTTGGACAATCTTCTTCTTCTAATATTACAAACCCCAAACTTTCCTCAAAATTTTTTTCTAACGAGACTTTTCTCCATAGACTCCCAAATTTCTCCTCAAACCTAGCCCACCACTTCCTCAATAAAGCTAAATTTCTACTTCTCAAATTTGGTATCCCTAGCCCTCCCTTGTCCTAATCTAAGCAAACCATCCCCCATTTTTACCTTACAGATTTTCCTACCACCCTCCCTAAAATAACCCCATAAGAATTGTCTTTGCATTTTCTCAATGGTTTTCAATACATAAGTAGGCATTTAAAATATAGATAGGTAATACAAAGGAAAAGAAGAAAGTACCAAGTTAAGTAGGATTAAGCAACCTCCAAAGGACAGCGACTTTGCCTTCCACCTATCCAACCTCTTTTGTATCTTTTGAATCATCGGCTACCACATTGTTTTCTTCCTTGGGTCGTCACCCACTAGCATTCCCAAGTATTGGAGAGGGATTCTACTAATTTTGTGCCGTAAGAAATTAGCAGCCCTTGTTAACCATCTCTTATCTTTGTTGGTTCCTATTGAACTGCTTTTTTTAAAATTGATCTTCAATCCTAACATCAATTCAAACCAAAGCAAAATTCCTTTCACAACTCCAATGTACTCCATTTTAGCCTTTCCCAACAAAACAGTATCATCCACAAATTGTAGATGCATGATTTTTCAAATTCCTATAATCGACTCTACTCTTTCCAATAATTCGCACGAAACAACCTTAGATATGAGACAATGTAGTCCTTATGCTACCATAAGAAACAAAAATGGGGAAAGGGGATCCCTTTGCCACAACCCTCACTCCATTTTAAAATCATCTATGGGACTACTGTTCACCAGGATAAAGATAGTGGCTATTGATAGGCATGCCATGATCCTCTTTCTCCATTTCTCTCCAAACCCAATTTTTTCCATCATATTGTTTAAAATTTCCCAATTTACACAATCATAAGCCTTTTCAAAATCAACCTTCAAAATAAAGCTATCAACCTTTCTTCTTTTTAGTTCATCTACATCTTCATTTGGAATGAGGATGCCATCCACAATCTGCCTTCCTCCCATGAAAGCTAATTGGTTTTCACTAATTATACCATCCATTACCTCTTTTAATTTGTTCGCCAAAACCTTAGCAACTATCTTATATAAACTGGATATTATGTTGATTGGTTTTAAATCCTCCAACTCCACTAGGTTATTAGTTTTTGGAATTAGAAAAATAAAGCTCAAATTAATACCTTTCACAAGTTTGCCATTATTGTGGAACTCCTTCATGAACATCATGATGTCTCCCTCCAATATCTCCAAAGCAAACTTTATGAATTTGAAATGAAATCCATTAGAGCTTAGTGCTTTCTCACTATTACAATCTCCCACTACCTTTTTAACCTCATCCAAGGTGAAATTAGCCTACAAACTTAAACATTACCCTGGAGAGATTCTATTGAGAATTAGCTCACTCAAAGACGGCCTGCACCATTTAGCTTTTGTGAATTGGTTTTTGAAATGAGCTAACACTTCCTTTCTAACCATTCTTGGATCATCTACCCAAGAGTCATTCTTCTATAAGCCACGCAATGCATTTCTTAATTTCCTGCTATTAGCAAACTTGTGAAAAGATCTTATATTGGCATCACCATTCTTAATCTAAAGCACTCTAAATTTTTATCTCCACAATATCTCCTTTTTCCTTAGGTCATCTCGTAATTCCTTCACTCCCTCCCTTCTTCAAATCAAATCATCCTCCAATATAAGATCTCACTCTTCAAATCAATTACCCCCACTTTTTTCTTTGCCCTTTCAATCTGTTGATCGATGTTGCCATACACTTTTATGTTCCACTTTCTCAGAAAACTCTTTAACATTTTAAATTTTTCTTTGCATTTAAAACCATTCCAACCTTCCACCTAATATCCATCCTATTGATCTTTTATAATATTTTTGAAGCTTGGGAACTCTAGCCAACTATCTACAAACTTGAAAAGTCTTGGATCCCAGTCCCAACTGTTTGATGATATTAAGATGGGGTAATGATCTAAAACTGATCTTCTCAAACCCACCAGATGACATTCCTTCCATTCTTCCAAAAACTGTACATTGAGTAAAGCTCTATCGATTCTGCTCATAGCTATACTATCAAATCTATACCTAGTGAATTTGCATCCCACTAATGGCATATCTATCAATGTTGAATCCAATATAAAATTATTAAACTCCATTATCTTCCTTGATCTATTTGATCTCCCTACATTATCTTCCCTATTTATCATTGCATTAAAATCTCTCCCATAACACATTTTTCCACCTACTGATGATATAATGTTCTTCAAATTTTCCTACAACAAGTCATTTTGAAACTCACATGGGGAATATACATTAATGATGGTTACCTATGTTTTCTTTTACCCCAATCACCTTTCACTCTCAAGAAACCTTCTCCTTCAAAACTTAATTCAATTGTAAAAAGTCCTTTGCTCCAAATGCAAAGTATACCCTTGCCCTTCCAATTGCTACCTTTTTAATCCAATCACAATCCTCACTCCCCCATATAGATTTACAAATGCTAGGGTCTACCTACTCCAACTTTGTTTCATATAATAATAACAACTCCACCTCCCTAATCACCAAACTCTTAATTTCTCTCTTTTTCAAAGGGTTATGCAACCCCCTAATATTAAAGGACATAATCTTTGTAATTGAAATGAATTCCCACAAACACCACCCTTACCTCCTCACTGCATATGCACCTCCAACGCCTCATTTTCTTCCAAATTTTGCAAGGCCTCTCCAAGTATCTCTTCACTACCATTAAACTTGATCCCAAGCATCTTTCCTAGTTCTAGCATTCTATGAACCTTGCCCCAATTTTACTCCCTTTGAATGATTTTATTTCTTTACTCTATTCAATTGTCCAATAGAGATAAACTCACAACTTTCTTGCTCTTCATCCTTCTTTTTCTTTGATTTTTCCTTCTATTTCCCCTATCTTTCCTAAACACCCACTTAGTTAAATTGTCATCAAGATAGTGAGTTCATCAAGATAGTAGAGTTCCTCCACATCATGCCCTCTTCTCTCTTTAACTAATCTTGGAGAATTCTATATCTCGACATCCAAGCTTGTCTCATCCTCAATCCTTACTTTGTTGCTTAGGTTACATAAGGCCAATATGCATGATGATTATGGGCCTCACACAAATTCATCATTATTCTAGGCCAAGGTATCCTCAAAATTAACTGAGTTTAATAGCCCAACTTCTCCTTGAGGCCCTAAATTATCACCTGCTACATTGGAATTTGCCAACATGCCAACTGCATCCATTGCTTTACTTTTCTCTACTATCTCATCAACTCCACCTTAAGAGTGCAAATCCCGTGTGCCACCAAAAGCACATACCTTTGCGTATAACCTTTGACATTTCCCAGAAAAAATCAATTAGCTACATTGAGTAATTTCCTCTTCCAACTCTTCGACTATGAGCAACTCATTGTCATCCCCTCTTGTAAGATCATTGCCGAAAAAGTAACATTTTGGTTTGCTTGAGTAAATTGAATTACTAGAGATTTCTACAAAATCATTATCCTTGCCTTCACATAGCCACCATTCAAGATCAAATCTCCACTACTCCTCTTCAACCTTGATTCAGAATAAGTGATCCTTAATTCTTACTTGGAGAACTTCTAAAATTTTCGCTTGTCTTGCAAACCTAACACGAAGTGTGGCTACCTCAAGCCAACTTTTGTCTACAATGTGTTTATCTCCATAAACATAAGCCTTAAACTGGTCTTCAATCTGCTTGAAACATTTCTAATTCCAAGCATGCAATAGTAATCCAACTAACTTGATCCACACGAACCTCTCTTGTCCAACATCAAACACTAACAACAATTTAACCCTTTCGAACCATCTGCTCAGCCATGCTTTCTCATAATCTACTAAATCCTTCATTAGCTCCCTATCCTCCCCTTTTAACAGAACCAAGTTGACATCCATAGGGATTACACCTATGTTGAAATAACCCTCCATCTTAAATATTTCTTAAAGAGATGGAATAATATCAAGTGATATTATATTTCCCACTGCATATGCATCAAGCCAAGTATAGTCCTTCTCATCAACTTCTAAATCTAACACCTTTGAATTTGCATCCATTTTTGCTACCTCCACTATTGCCTCATCTCCTTCACAAGAGCTAACACTTTCCACCTTTTACTGCTTAACCTTTTTAAAATTCTCCATTAAAGGGTTCTCCTTTACTACATCCGTGTAAGTTCACCCTTTTTCCCTATCATGCCTTGCATCTACTTTGGCCTTCGTTCCAAATCGCACACCTACGGGTTCATTCACTTTCCTTTTCACCACCCACTTAATCTTACCTTCCTTTAAACCTTTCTTGTCTTGGTTAATTGCCCTCCCTTGTCCGTTTTGAACTCCAGTTTCTTCCTTCCACCCATAGCAAACAAACTTTACCCTTAGTTTGAAAAAGTCAATCCATATTCTATTAAGCATCTCTTCCAACTTTTATCAAGGAATCTAACCAATCCATAGTTGCGTCCACTTTTATCGTGTTTGCTAGATATATAGACGTTCAAAACCTTACAATATCTTGAAAAAAAATTCCACAAATGTTTAAAAGTCCATTCCTCTAGAAAGTTAGAGAACCAGAAGCTCCACAAATGCCACAAAAAATCCCAACTAATCTTAACGAATCTACCTGGTCTCCTCCAATCCCTATGTGTCGAAGTTGGTAATTCCCTGGAGCTCCATCCTTATCCTCTAGATGCCATTGTCTGCTTATGGTATCGCCTACTCTCTTACGTGGCCCCATTCTCACTTCAACTCTCTCCCTTTATTATATATATCATGATTATCATCATTTATAGCCAATATGTATTGTGTTTCTAATAATTCAATATCTAAGGATTTTTAACAATATATTTCTTTTATAATGATAGACTTGATTCCTTGAAAAAGGCAACCATAATTGATGAGGAAGACGAAAGTGAAGATTATCATACTAACAAGCTTTAAGTGTTAGATTAGTAGTCTACCAAAGTTTTTGCTTGGTATATAATCAGTATGACACATTTTTGATATCTTGAATCATTTACATCCTATAACTAACAAAAAAGTTTTATTAAGGAACCTTTGTTAATTGATGGTTTCCATGTGGTTATCTAGATCACATCTAAGATTTTTGTTTACACCATGAACATATCTTCTACTTTTCTAGAAAATTTAAGAACTAGATCTTGACATTCAACAGTTTTCTTATTATTCTACCTTTCCTTTAAATATGACCATGGTAATCTAAGTATAGATTTGAAGTGTGTCTACTAATCCTTTTCTTTCTTCTTCTCTTTGATTGGTAGATTTAAAAAATTGAGGTGGAACAACCTATCCTAAAATGATAAAAATTTCTAGATAGCTCGTCAAGGTGGATTTTAGGCCACCTCAACTTGTCTATGTAGAGTGTAGAGGTGGATTTTGTGCCACCTCAACTTGTCTAGACATGGTGTGGCCATTGGTTTTGTGACATCTTAACTTCTAAACTAGCATGGAGATTGGTATTTTCATCTCAATGTTACTAGATAGGGTGTGGAGGTGGATTTTGATTGATCGTACTGCGAAATGATGATAAGATGTCTGCTTTTAAGGCAACTTGAAAGGGTGAGACATTAAGGAGTCATGTGTTTCTTCTTGAAGCAAGGATTTCAACATGTAATTGATGCACTAAGAGATCAACAATTTCGAGCTACAAGAATTTCAACACATAACCAATGTAGTATGAGATCAAAAACTTCAACATTTAAGAATCATACTTCCACTACTGTGTTCTTAAAATATGTCATCTTCAAGTCGTGGTAATAGGAGCTCTTGAAGCCCCTGAATGGATTCTTTTGCACCTCTATAAATCAAACCATAAAGTTCTAAAACTAATTTTTGGATGACTGATCTCTCTTCATTCCCTTGAAATTGTAGGAATTTTATTTGAAATTCTAATGCAAATATTTGTAACGTGAAGAAAAGTCCTTGTAAAATAGGGGAGAACCATTGCTTGATAATAAAAGAAAGGGCATCTCATTCTCTACTTGAATCCATTATCCTTGATTTTATTTGTGTATAAAATTCTACTTGTATGTGTAAAATCTTTTTTTTTTTTTTTGTTTTATTTTTTTGACATATGTAAAACACTTTAATTGGTTGTAAAATTTCTTTAGTTCCTCTAAAGAAATAGAAATTATATTGCTTCTCTAAATATCTTTAGTACTTTTTATTTTGCATTTTTATCGTTCTTACAAACAAGGAAAAAAACATAAATTCTATCCTGTTTACCTATGGTTTGTCCAAAGTCATTATTTTGGTAAGAAAATAAGGGCAAATGGAAAAACAGGTTGAACTGCCAAAAACAAAAAATTGCAAGTCGACCTTAATAAAACGTCACTATTTCAATAATAAAAGGGAATTTTGACCTTTGTCTCTTGTGACTTCCCTGCCTCCTGAATTAGAAACCTCTTCTCCCCGTCTTCCTTCCCTTACTAGAGACCCACTGCTACAAAATCCTTATTGCTGGAGCCCCATCAACATCACTGGAGATTGCAACTGCTTTATTGAGTCATAGTCATTATTGTTTCATTGGGGATTTATTAATCTTAGTTTCCATCAAGGCAAATCATGCAAATTGCCCCCTAAACTTGTTGATAGTTGACAAAAGGCCCCTAAACTGAAAACAGTAGCAAATGACCCCTTAAACACATCAATGGTGGCAAATCAACCCTTCTCTAACGGCTAATGTCATCATTCCGTCCAAACTTAACCGGGTTCATGTTTTTGCAGGGTCCACTGTCTAGCTGGACTTGATGTAGCCTGTTTTTTGTCATTTCAACATTTTTCTAAATGTGAAATTAATAAAGTAAATTAAATGAAGATTTTTTAACTTAGTTTTTTAATTTGCAATATTAAGGTATAGGTTAAAAATATATTTATTATATGTTTTTATTATTAATTTATATAAAAAATTAAGAATGTAAATTTTATTTTTAGCATTAGTATCATGTAAAATAATTAAATTAGATAGTTGATAAATTTTAAATTAATTTTCTTTTTTTTTCATATAAATTAATAATGAAAAGCAAATGTATCTTTAACCTATATCCTTAGAAGACAAACTAGAAAGTTGTTTAAAAGAATAGGTGGCAAAAAAAAGATAAAAAAATAAATTAAATAATAATTTTTCTAACTTGAATGCAATTAATACATTTTTTAACAATTAATTTATATGAAAAAATTAGTTCATTTATTTTGGTAGTTCTCAATTTCTCTTCCTTCAAATTTCTTTTTTTTTTTTTTTTTGCTAAATTTTAAATCTACAGTTAATTTTTCAAAACTTTTTCGATTGAGGTAATTTTCATCACTAAAAAAAAAGACTATTTAATTACGAAACTATCCTACAATACATTGGATTTTTTATTCTTTTTTACTTGACAATATAACAATTGAGAATTTTTTTTTTTTTGATGAATCAAAATATTTTATTATGATAAAGAGTACAATGAGTACTCTACAATTGAGATTTAATTAATCCAATTGATTCCCATCGCAAATAATTAAATTTTAATATATGAAGCTAAAATTACAAAAAAAAAATATTAGTGAAATTTTTAAGAAACTTAAAAATTTTAATGATTTAAAGACATGAGAGGCGATGTCAGACTTTGATGGACCACATAGTGTCCAAGTAAATTGTGGAATCCATTCTAACTAAAAAAACTGTTAGTTTTAACGGAATACTAACTAGCAGTTAAACAAGGACTAATTTGCCACCGCTCATGAGTTTTAAGGGGTCATGTGCTACTGATTTTAGTTGAGGGGCTTTTTTGCCACCTCTTGATATGTTTAGGGGGTAATTTGCATGATTCACCTTCCATCAATTTATCAAAATTGATATGAATTTTTATCCAAAACCCATAGGTACCTATGATTCTACTTTTGAATTTTTTCTTCTTTTTTTTTTTTTTTTTCATGTTGCTTAGGTGCTGTCTTCTTCAGTTTCTCCATCTATATTTGAGGAATTTGAGAGTAGACAAAATATAGATGAGAGTGACAATGATGATTGTGTGGTTGTTGAACAGGTGAAGGAGTTTCATGGACTCAAGGACATAGCTTAAGGAGATATGCCAACTAATAATAATCTTAGTCATGAGAATGGAGGAAAACCTCATGTTAGGAAGAGGCGCATAACAATTTGTTCATCAGAGAATAAACAGTAGCAACCTCTAATGATGTCAATGGGGTTTTGGCAACAAGGATTTTGCAGCGATGGGGCTTCGACAAAGAGTATTTTGCAGCAGTGGGTTTCTGGTCAAGGATGGGAGAAGGAGAGAATGGGAGCCACAAGAGACGGAGTGTCAGAATTTCCTTTTAGTATTGAAACGATGACGCTTTAATAGGTTGACCTGCAATTTTTTACAGGTTGCCCTGCTTTTCCGTTTGCTCAAAAAATAATATATAACATTTTCTAACCATTTTTAAATTATAATTTTGATATAAATGTATTGGCACAAGATAACTTGAAGACACCTTGTGCCAAAGAAGTTATACAAAAAAATGAGAATATGAGTATAAATAAAATATAATTTTGGAAAGTCACAATGAATAAAAGAATAATTTGTCGATCTTAATATTAATTCTTTTAGAAAGACTAATATTATTTTGTCTCTCACGAAACATCCCAAAGGTTAAGAATTCACTACAAGAAAAAAGCTTATTGCCTGCGTTTGTTAAAGGATTTACATGCATTTTTAAATGCATATAAAAGAGTTACCAACATTTGCATAAACGCCACACAAATGCTGGTACAGGTGGAGCAGGTAAAACCATACCTGCATTTTATTCAAACACTGGTATAAACTTCTATTTCCCTGCATTTACTAAAAATGCAAGAAAATCACTTAAAAAAACACAGGTGATGCCCATGGGAAAGTCCCAAATAGCTGCTGTTTTTACTTGCATTTTTTGTCAAACGCAGGGCCTCTCTTCCTTTTTCTTTTTTTTCTTTTTCTTTTTTTTTCATTTTGGTCACCAGCGTTTACTTAATCGCAGGAAAAGGTTTTTTTTTTTTTCTACCAAAACACTACTTATTTATTGATAAAACCATTTAAAATCAAAGCACAATTAATCAAACCAAATATGACATCAATTAATCAAAAATCAACGCAAAATTGACATATTATTAAATGCCTAATTTTGCCATATCTAGAGAAAACATAACAACAATAATATCTAAATGTTTAAGTTCCAAAAACTGATTATAACAAATACTCCAAATAGCAGACAACCATATCTAAGAGTATCCAAAATACAATGGTTTCAATTTCAAAATATAAAATATTGAGACTGTGACAATGATAAATAAAGTGATTTGAATCATACAAATTATCCTATTTACACAACTATTTTTAATAAATATTATAAGAATCACCAATGAAATGAAATTAAATCTGGAAAATACAAGAACAACACTAGAAGCAAATTAAATTAGTAAATTACCTGCCATGAATTACCATTGGACTTTTGACAAACACTCTTAGTCCTCAATTCTTCCTCACTCAGTTGCTCATCATATTCTCTCTTCTTCATAGAATCAGAAAGAACCTACAAATTCATGCCACCATAAGCAGCAACAAAGACCAAAGCCAATCAATCCTTTGGTCCTTGACCTTGTTCAATTTTGATTTAGACATAAATAAAGTACAAAAATATAAAGGGGATAACAATACAGGTTTTTACCTCATAAGCGCATTGAAGTTTCTTAAATGATTCACTTGCCAAAGGACTTCCCATATTTTTATCAAGATGGACAAGCATGGCCTGCAACAAATAAATCGACAGGTGAAAATAGAAGCTAACTCTAGAATCCCTTGCAGCATAATATTCCTTCCACTGCAGCTGATTGTATCTCCATTGAGGTAATGATAACTAAACTGACTAAATATAACCACACTGGAATGTTTGTCCCATTTGAAGAGAATTAGCATCTACCTTTTTATGGTATTCTCTATTCAATATGGCAGCATCAATTTTTTTTGTGGCGAGGAAACCCTGTGCTTCATGGTCCACACTATTCAATATTTGTTTCATCTCATCAGCTGAACTTCCCTCTTCTTTAACCACCTTGTTCACAGAAATGTCTCTTTGCTTGATAACAGATGAAGTAGTATCAGGTTTGCTGGATGATTTGCATGACCATACCTTCTCAGGCTCTTCAACTCAATAACTTTAAGAAAAATGGAACACAAAGAGTAGCGATTAGTCATACCACTCAAAAAAAGAAAAAAAAAGAAAAAAAAAAGAATATATGAATGAAATGGTATACCACTCATCTGTTGCGGATAATTGCCACAATACTAGTCACCTGCGACTTGAGTAATTAGTGTCCCTAAATAAAGAAGGTGATCATCTATATGTGTCCTTTTAAGGCTAAAAGTAGCAAAACACAAAGAGAAGACCACTAAATTTCTCATAGAAAAACATCAAACATCCTGTATGCATTAAAAACAACTCACCCAAAACGCATAAATTCAATTTGAATAAAACTGAAAATTTTATCAAGTTCAACATATTATGAAACACCATTGCTAACAATGCAACCCAGAAAAAGAAAAAGAGGGAAAAGAAATTGGAAATTAAATTAAAACATGCCAATTAGCCAATGCTAGCAAAATAATGCAAGCTAAGCAAAATTAAATATTACCACTCAATCTCCTAAACACTTCAACTTGGATTCAACAAAAAAAAAAAAAAATAGAAAGAAAAAACTAAAGGTAATAGAAAGTAAATTTGAGTTATTGTAAAATTGATAAGAGACCTAAGTGATACAATTCCAAGTTCTCAGAATGACTACCGGAAGAGAGAGGGAGATCGGAGTCGCAGAGGTTGCTAGGAAATGTCTACGCAGCCACCGGAGTGGAGTACAAATCACCAAAGCCTTGGTCTCGAGTAACACCAAACCTGGACTGAATGCCCCCAATAAAAAAAACTGCATTTTATTGGAGATGCAATCAGAAACCCTAAACTTTTAAGAGGAAATGAAAACAAAAATTTAACTTTCAATCGGAGAGAAAATGAGGAGAACCTTCAATCGAAAGTTCAGAGAAATTAAGCAGAAGGATAATGAGAATGAAATCGGAAATAAGGATAATTGAAATGGAAATTGGAATTGGAATCGGAAATGAGCTTGTGAAGAAATTCTTGAAAGAAAGGAGAATGAAAATTGTTTTCTAGAATGTTTGGGAAAATACTTTCTCGACCGTAATTTTCTGGTTCCTCTTTTTAATTAATTTCCTGCATTTACTAAATAAAACACAGGGAGTTACCTGCATCTTGTGAACCGCCATTATTGCAAAGCGGGTAAAAATGAAAAATTGTTAGTTGACTAGCGTTTGGTACAAATGCAAAAACAAGGCAAAACCATAATTTAAGCCCCTGAACTAACCTCATGAACTAACCTCAGAATCGCTATTGAGGCCCTAGACTTTAATTGATGCATAAAAACCCTTAAACTCTGCGCTAAAAGCAATTAAGCCCTTCTTCTTCGCCAACTTAACTGTTGTTTGGGACTCGCTCGCCTGGCTTAACTGCCGTTTAGGATTCACCTGCTTGGCTGCTTGAATGGTAAAATATTGACATGTCATGCTTAAATGGCAAGGAATTTGACACTTGAACAGGATTTTTGACTTATTTGATCATTCAATTCTTTAACTTAAATAAAGTCTAAATAAAATAAAATTATACATTTGGATGGAAATATTATTTAAATAAAGTTTTAAATCTAAATTTAATAAATAGAATAATAAACATTAAAAAAAATTTATGTGATTCATTTGTGATTTATTTTTAAATTAGTTGACGTTAATATAAACTTTTAAATTTTGAAAGTTTAATAAAAAAAATAATATCACTTAAAATGATAAATTTATAATTATAAGATATATGACATTAAATAAATATAATAAGAAAAAAGTGCATATTAATTTTAATTTTTAAAATAAATTAAAGTTTCAAATTTAAAGCAAATACCTCATTTTATCTAATTAAAACTCAATTTAAAATTTAAAAGTTTATCTTATTAAATATTAATATTTAGATTTAGAAAGAAATTTCATTATAATATATAATTAATTTTTAAATTTACTTACCAACATTTAATAAGGTAAATTTTTAAATTTTGCATTGAAATTTTAGTTTCTAAATATAAGCTAAGATTCTAAAATTT